CTGTCCCTGCCTGGCTGGCTGAAGGGCAGGGCTGGAGGCGTTGGGGAGGATGGGACATTGTGGGCACGGGTGTCCCAGCAGGTGTCCCCTGCCCCAGCTGGGCCCCACTTGATGAGGAAAGGAGGGTCCCAGCCCCGGGATGCCTGGACAGCTCCTGCCTCCCTGTGCCACTGCTCCTGGCCCCACGCTGCCCGCCCCGACAGCCCCTCTGCCAGGCTGTGGGAGGGGCACTTTGCTCTCACCTGGCTCCCTCCCTTCGAGGGGCTCCTCCTCCCTGTCTGACATGGGACGTGTCAGCGGTGGGTCCCTGTCTCACTGTCCCACCGGTGAGTGGAGCTCCCAGCACTGGGTGCTCTGACACGGCTCCTCTCACGGTGACTTCAGGATCTGCTGGATGAATTTGGGGTCTGACAATGCTGGTGGGAGTGGTTTTGCCTGCAGTCAGGACTCTGACTGCTGGAGCAGCTGCTGTCCTCAGTTGCTGGGAAGCTGCTCTGGAATATCCCCAATGTTACCTGACTGTCAGGGCTGGAGATGCTCATCTTTTGTGAGGGGGATTCCAGAGTCTCCTCCGATGTTGCCTGTAGGTTGATATGGAGTTTGCTCGTCCTGGGGTGATGGTCTTGCATTCTGTCGAGTTGTCAGAAGAGTTCTTCATGAGAGCAACAGCTCTGAGTCTTAACTGGAGGCTGTAAGGGGAAGCAGGAGGGTCAAGGTGGCTCCAGGCCCGGGATAAGATAGGCCAGAGCAGTGTCTCCAGTCCTCCTGGAGCAGAAAAGCTCAGCCAAGCCAATTCTGGACACCCGTTGCCAGGCCCAGGGGCACCAGGCCCAGGGTCACCTGGGTGCTTTGCCTTTTACCTGTGCCCAGACCAGCACAGCCATCAGAGTCCCAGCTGGTTGTGCTGTCCCTCAGGCCAGAGCAGTGTCTGGGGGTGCTCTCAGCAGCACAGGAGGAGCACAGGAGCAGTTCCCAGGGCCTGGGGAAGCAAACGGGTTCATGGAGGTGCTGAGCTCTTCTCCTGGGTCCTTCTGCTTCAAGCCCTGCAGAGTCCTGGGAGGCAGCTTTGGCAACTTACCCCTCCTCCTCTGCCTCCTGCCTGCCTCCTGGACAAAGGCACTCACTGGCATCACAGTGCCTCTGTCTCTCTCCTGGCTCAGTGAATGCATTCAAGCCCTCCCCTCATGGTGGTCTGATGGGAAAAGGAAAACTGATGAGCTCCCTCTGCCCCAGCATAGGGCAGGTGTACGGTATCCCTGCTCTTCCCCCTGTACCATCACAGCAGGCAATGGTGGCCCCGCTCTGGCCACAGATGCAGCAGCTCTGGAAAGAGCAGAGCAGCCCCATCAGCAGCAGCCTCAGAGCCTCCTCCTTCTCCCCGAGCTGGTTGGAAGGGCTGGGCTTTCTTGCTTGGGGTCTGGGCTAAGCTCCAGCAAACCTCGCCTGGCACAAATCTCCCTGCTCTTGTCAGGCTCTCACCTTCTGTGCTTCCCGGGAGACTACATCTTGGATATCCCTTGGGAGAAAGCCAAAGAGTCCTACTGGATCATCATTGTGCTGAGGAAGGTGGCTGGTAAAAAACTGTAGAAAAAATGACACACACTGATGAGCAGAGAGTGGCAGGGACTGCCTGTCAAAACATGGTGGGAGCCCATGAAGCAACTCACCAGGCAGAACTCGTGGGCACAGAACCCATTTATCTGGAGTTGTTCCCCACAGATGTCCAGGTCAGCTTCTGATTGTTGACACAGCAGGCATGCTGGAGGGGAGAGAGACAATGGCCCCGGGCATGGCACCTGTACTGCCCGCCCCGACAGCCCCTCTGCCAGGCTGAGGGAGGGGCACTTTTCTCTCACCTTTCTCCCTCCCTTCGAGGGGCTCCTCCTCCCTGTCTGACATGGGACGTGTCAGCGGTGGGTCCCTGTCCCACTGTCCCACCGGTGAGTGGGGCTCCCAGTACTGGGTGCTGCAACACGGCTCCTATCACGGCAGCTTCTGGATCCACTGGATGAATTTGACGTCCGACGCTGCTGGTGGGAGTGCTGTTGCCTTTGGAAAGTCCTGGCTTCTGTCTTCCTTGAGTTTTGCCTCCCAGTACTCAGTGCTGGTGTGCAGTTCCTGCCATTGTGACTTCTGGACCCACCAGATGGATCTGGGGTCTGCTGTTGCAGGCGTGAGTGGTTTTGCCTGCGGGATGTCTCTAATGGTCTCAGCCTGGTCCTGCGCCTCCCAGGACTTGGTGCTGGTATGTGGCTCCTGTCCTGGGGACTTCTGGACCGAAGGTGTGGATTTTGGGCCCGACGTTGCCGGCAGGAGTGGTTTTGCCGGCGGTCAGGCCCCCGACTGCTGGAGCAGCTGCTGTCGTCAGTTTCTGTGAAGCTGCTCCTGGATGACCCCGATGTTACCTGACTGTCAGGGCTGGAGGTGCTCATCTCCTGTGAGGGAGATTCCAGAGACTGCTCCGATGTTGCCTGGGGGTTGGTACGCTGGTTGCTGGTCTGTAACGCTGAAGATACAGGAGATGGCACTGGGATGCTGGTGCTGGGGCTGATGGTCTCCAGTGGTGCAGAACTAGGAGACAGCCCTGGTAGCACCAGGCTGCCTGCGTTGGTGCTGGTGGTCTCGGGTTCTCTGGAGCCATCAGAAGGCTCCAGTCCTGACAGTCAAGCCATGCTGGGGCCAGCAAGCTCCAAGTCATCTTTGGAGGCTGTAAGGGGAAGCAGGAATGTCAAGACCACCTCAGAGCCAGGGCAGGATAGGCCAGAGCAGTACTGCCAGTGCTCCTGGAGCAGACAGGCTCTGCCAAACCCACCCTGGGTACCCACCGCCAGCCCCTGCCTGGCACCTGGCCAAGGGGAACCCCAGTGCTTTGGAAAAGAGGGTCCCAGTCCCGGGATGCCTGGACAGCTCTACCTCCCCCTGCCACCGCTCCCAGCCCCACGCTGGCCACCCTGACAGCCCCTTTGCCAGGTTGCGGGAGGGGCACTTTGCTCTCACCTGGCTCCCTCCCTTGGGGGGCCTCCTCCTTCCTTTCTGACGTGGGATGTGTCAGTGGTGAGTCCCTGTCTCACCGTCTGAGCGGTGAGTGGGACTCCCAGCACTGGGTGCTCTATCACGCCTCCCATCACGGCGACTTCTGGATCCGCTGGATGAATTTGAGGTCCGACGCTGCTGGCGGGAGCGCTGTTGCCTTTGGGAAGTCGTGGTTGCTGTCTCCCTTGAGTTTCGCCTACTAGCACTCCGTGCTGGCGTGCAGTTCCTGCCAAGGGGACTTCTGGACCGGCCAGATGGATTTGGTGTCTGACGTTGGAGGCGAGAGCGGTTTCGCCTGCGGGATGTTCCTGATGCTTCCTGGCTGGGGGTGCGGCTCCCAGCACTTGGTGCTCTCACATAGTTTCTGTCACGGCGACTTCTGGACCGGCCAGATGGATTTGGGAACTGTTGCCGTTGGCGGGAGCGACTTTGTGTGTTGGATGTTCTCGATGCTTGATGGCTGCGGCTGCTCCTCCCAGCACTCGGTGCTCTCACGTGGCTCCTGTCACGGCGGCTTCTGGACCGGCCAGATGGATTTGGAGTCTGACGTTGCAGGCGGGAGCAGTTTCGCCTGCAGGATGTCCCTGATGGTCTCAGCCTGGTCCTGCGCCTCGCAGGACTTGGTGCTGGTACGTGGCTCCTGTCCTGGGGACTTCTGGACCGAAGGCGTGGATTTTGGGCCCAATGTTGCCGGCGGGTGCGGTTTTGCCGGCGGTCAGGCCCCCGACTGCTGGAGCAGCTGCTGTCATCAGTTTCTGTGAAGCTGCTCTGGGATGACCCCGATGTTACCTGACTGTCAGGGCTGGAGCTGCTCGTCTCCTGTGAGGAAGATTCCAGAGACTGCTCCGATGTTGCCTGGCGGTTGGTACGGTGGTGTCTGTTCTGTGGTGCTGAAGTTCCGGGAGATGGCACAGGTACACTGGTGCTGGGGCTGATGGTCTCCAGTGGTGCAGAACTAGGAGACAGCCCTGATAGCACCAGGCTGCCTGTGTTGGGGCTGATGGTCTCGGCTTCTCTGGAGCCGTCAGAAGGCTCCAGTCCAGACTGTCTGGCCACGCTGACAGCAGCAAGCTCCGACTCATCTCGGGGAGCTGTGAGGGGAAGCAGGAATGTCAAGGTCACCCCAGACCTGGGGCAGGATAGGGCAGAGCAGTACCGCCAGCCCTCCTGGAGCAGACAGGCTCCACCAAACCCTCCCTGAGCACCCACTGCCATGCCCAGGGGCACCAGGCCCAGGGTCAGCAGGGTGCTTTGCCTCTTACCTGTGCCCAGGCCAGCACAGCCATCACATTCCCAGCTGGTTATACTGTGCCTCAGGCCAGAGCAGTACCTGTGGGTGCCCTCGGCAGCACAGGAGGAGCACAGAAGCAGTTCCCAGGGCCTGGGGAAGCAAATGGGTTCATGGGGGTGAGGAGAAAGTGCCCAAAGCATGGGATTATCAGGCTGAGATCTTCTCCTGGGTCCTTCTGCTTCAAGCCCTGCAGAGGCCCAGGATGCAGCTTTGGCAACTTACCCCTCCTCCTCTGCCGCCTGCCTGCCTCTTGGAAAAAGGCACTTAGTGGCATCGCAGCGCCTGTGTCTGTCTCCCAGCTCAGCGAATGCATTAATGCCCTCCCATGATGGTGGTCTGATGGGAAAAGGAAAACTGATGAACTCCCTCTGCCCTGGCATCGGGCAGGTGCAGGGTGTCCCCGTTCTTCCCCCTGTGCCATTTCCAGCTCCTGTGGGAAGCTGAACCCGGGACTCACAGAACAGGGCAGGGCCTGGACTGCTGGGGCAGGCCCTGGCACAGCACTTGCCACTTGCACCCCCTGTGTCGTGAGCCAGGCAGAAGGACACGAACCTCAAGGGGATTCGGATCCCCATGGTTAACATATCTCTGATAAACGCGTTATCATTTCTGCAGAGGGGGCACTGGATGGAGAAAAAACCAGCATGCATAGCCTGTCCCTGCAGGAGAAACACAAGTAGTGAGAGTGAGGCCCTGGTGCTGCTGAGCCCCTGCTGTGCCCCCGGGGTGAGGGAACCACTCCTACTTGGATGCAGTCCCTGTGGAACCAGGCGGTTTTGCAGGCTGGGCACACCATGGTATTAAAAGTCTTTCTGTGCTCCACAGGCTCCATGCAGATGAGGCATTCGGTGCCCGGCTCTGGAGTCGCCTCCACTGTCTGCTCTGGGCTGTGTGTGGGGCAGAAGGTCCTGGGGGGAAAAGGGGTGGGTGAGGTGAGAAGTGCTGGGCCCTTCC